CTGTTGGTATAACGAGAATACACACTACCGACCTCCCCATGCACCCACTTGTAGCCCGGGTTCTCTATCGGAGGGTAACGGCGAGAAGCTGATCCAACTTTGTGGGTAGCGGGACGGCCTTCGGAGACCGACACAGATGAAGACTCGTCTCCACTTTGGGTGCGCTCAAATCCCAGAATGATCTCAACACTATCCGAACCATTAGATGTCGAAGCCGACGCGCGATGCCGGTCAGATTCTGCATGCGACCTCGTGCCAGCAGATCCACTCGTGTCCCTAGAGGAATCGACCCGAACAACATCCATATCAGCCGTAGAAACGTACCTAAATTGAAGCTTGATCGGTCTTGGTCGATGAAAATCGCTCAGAAACGCTAAAAGTTGAACTTAATATCGGTTCAGAGCAAGCAAGAGAAATATGTGTGTATTAGTCCCCACCACATGCCTATTTATAGGACCTTCTCGAGACGATCTCAAACGACGCATCCCTGAGCACTGTTGGATCAATTTGATCCAACGATCCACAAAAGGCAACCCTTTGCGTCTCTTCATCATTAATGCCCCAACGGTTACAAACCCAACGGTTACAACCCTTCACGTTCTAACACCCAACTGCCACGTGTGAAGCGCCATGATTACCCTTTACGTCGTTTCACTCCTCAAGGCTGGGGGCTTGTGTATCGGAAGGGTCATATCGGCCATGTGGATCGACATGTGACATCATATCAGCCACCGAGACGGCCCTCGGATACAACAATGGTCGTAATAACAACCTATAAGGCCATCAATGGCTTGGCTAGGGCAGTGTTATTAGTTAACCCTCTCACCAACGTCCCGGCCCGACAAAAGGCCGAGAACAAAGGGCAACCCCAGTCCTTTACCTCTCAGCTCGGCCAACGACCGATAGGGCCAGGTAGTGATTAAGACGATGATCATGATTAACAAGGAAAAACGCACTATTAAGGCATAATCAGCCGATTATCACCGTATTACCTAATTTGGCAAATGTTAGAAGAGGCCCACGACATTCAGGGCCCATGACGAGTAGTATAAATAGGTCACATAAAACGAGGTATGAACTGTTCATTTATTACCCTCGAGAATTGTGTTTGTCCTGACTTGAGCGTCGGAGTGCCTTTTGTAGGTACCTCCCCCCTCTGAAGCATCTGCTCGGAGCTCTCGTTCGGCCCTCTAGTTACCAGAAGATTACGAGTGTGCCCTTAGACAGGTACACTTTCTTTACTATAATATTTTTTTAAAAAAATTATTTATGTGTTTATTAAAAAATTAATCGATTATCTTAGGTAGTATTTACAATTATATGTGACATATTAATATGTGATATTTTTTTTTAAAAAAAACTTTATATAATATTTAGTATAAATGTTATTTATTTATAATCAAAATTAACGAATTTAAAATTTAAGGTGATAAAAATAAATAAATAAAATCTACAAATACTAAAGCTAAAACTTGATTATTTCATAAAGATTAAAAGTAAGGTTTACAGATTTTAAAAAGATAAAAATAATCCCCTAAAAAAAGATAAAAATAAAGAATTTTTTTAAGAGGACAAAATTAAAACATTTATTTTATTCAAAGATTAAAAATATGTTTAAATCTAAAAAAAATCTCATTTATTATATTTATTTTACTATTTGGATTTGAAATTTCTACGAGATTAATCTCTGTTATATTTTTTTTTTGAAAACTCAAAATATTTCTTGATCAAGAATTAAATATTGATGTTGAAGATCTAAATAATAATCTTTATTTTTTTAAAATAAAGATAAATATCTATATCTATTATAAAGAAGATAGATTTTGATAATCATCATTTTAATTTTCACTTTTTCATACCTATTATACTATACACTTTAACAATAATCTTCTTTAATATATATATATATATACTCTTATTGATTAAAAAAAGATCTTCTTACTTATATGGTTTGTTTGTTTTTAGAAGAGGTATATAGTTAAATTTATTGTTTTATTAATAAACAAAACATTAATTTTAAATGGGATAAAATTTAGTTGTTTTAAAATATAAATTTTCGAAAGACAAGGAAAAACCATCTTTATTTCATGATCTCTAGATTTGTTCTGGTGCTTTTTTTCTTCCTTTGGACCCTTAAAGAGTGTGGTACTTGAGATGATATGATATTTGCTATTGGTGTGGGGTCCATTGTTTTCCAAGTTTATTGTTTTGCCATCAATTGCCACTTTGAGATCCGACAATGGCCTATATAAAAAGTCTCCCTAAATGATATGTGTTGCCCTTCCATAATTCATCACACACACTATTTGCAATTCCATTGCTGCTATAGAACCATTTTGTTTGTTTGGCCACAACCCTCCAACATTGTCATGATTAAGAAGCACCTTTAACAGTACCATGTATCGCCTTTTAATACACAAATATTAGGCTCATAAGTCATAACTAATATGATAATCCTTTGTTTGCGGCATTAGCAATATCACCAAAAAAGCATATTAATTGGGTTATTGACGTGCAAGGTAGAGACACCTTTCCTGAAAAATGAGAAGGAAAAAAAATAAAAATAAAGGAAAGAACAACCTTCTAAGGCCCATATGTTTTACCTTTTGAATATTTGATGTTTTATAGGTCATTTTCATCATCTACCACAATCATGAAAGAGATTCCAAAGAATAAACGGTGAGTCCAATCCAAAGAGAGCTTTGTCTTCTGTGGGATAATGACAACACCACCATGCCAAGGGTGTGTGTGTCCTAAGTATTGCCCCCTAATTACAACATTGCACTCTCTGTTATCCCAAAGTATGGCCTTAATTATGTCTAGTCATTGCGGTCAAAACTGCTAATCATGAAGTGGTTTTTTGGTTTTTAAGCAAGTCATGCCCTTGATTGTGACTTTTTCATAGTGACAAGATTTAGGGTTTGGTGTTAATTCTACAGAAACAAAGGGTAAAATGAAAAAAAAAATATATATATATTTCACTTGAGCGTAATTATTGGATTTTAACGAAATATCTGTTAGCTGTTAGTATCATGAAATTTAATTTCACACTTGTGAGTACAATTTTTATTCAGCCTTCTTCTCTTTTATTCCCCCTTTACTTTAGCACCTTTTTCATTTATGGATATGCTCATTTTATAGAAACTTGACCAATTTGGACCGAGGTGAAATTAATAGAACTGTTGATGGTCTAATTATGTGGCAGATGAATAAAGCTGGGATGCATGGTAGATCACTCTGTCAAACTAACAGAATGCTATTTGCAGATACTCTTTTACCACGCATGCACCAAAGTGACATTTAATGCAAAAAAGTTGAGGGTTTTGGGGGAAGGGGGGATGAGAGCAAAAAGATTAACTAATACATCATCAAGCATTACCTTCTTGGACTAATCATGCAATTTGATTGCAAATTGCAATAAAGAAGATTCTCGTTTGAGAAAATGAATGCGGGATTAGAAACCAAAGTATACTTTACATGGAAAAGGAACGTGTACAAAAACCAATGCCATATGAAACCACAAAAGAAACATGAAACGTTGTGTGAAAAATATAAAGTATGAGATGCGAGGTAAGGAGTACATTGTTTGCCTCCCCCAAAATTGCATTGCCCATGTGCTTTGAGGACGTTTCTTGCTTATATTAAGTGCTAAGGCATTTTAATACCCATAATTAAGTTCCCCCACCGTAACACGCATTTTAATATAAAATCTATAATTAAGATTAATTTAGAACTCTACAAGATTTAAATTAATTTTATTAAAACCAATCTTACTTACCTAACTCTAAATCAAATGAACCTTTATTCATCTTACAAGTCAAGTCGCAAGTTCTCATGTGTGGAATATTCTTGGAGTAACTGTTCAGTCCAAAGGAGTATGTGTGTATCTAAGGTTTTCTATGGTAACTCAAAAATCAAGTCTCCAGAAATGAGTTCGTGGTTAAAACATTCCCTCCCAATAAAAAGCCAAGACTATTTATAAGTCAAATAAATTCATTCATAATCAGTTGTGTGATTAGCAGAAGGAACTCATTAACTGCACTGCTTATATAATATACTACCACACGTATCACATACTACTAAAAAATCTGACAAAAATGGTTTGACAGAAGGGGAGAGACACCACTAGTAATTAGGACTTTTCTAAAGCAGATTAACTATATATACTATTGGTTTAATTTAAAGTGCATATTAATGTTGGCATGGTAAAATTTATAGGGTTAATAGACCCTTATTCACTCACTTGGAAACAAATTCACTTTATAATTTCTTTATTAATGTGAGAGAAGAAAAGTCTTCATTGCACAGGCTTTACCCTATCCCTCTGTTGGAATACTTGTCAGGTAAATTAAGCAATCAAACGACATAATGAAATTGGGTGGGCCAACACCAAGTTCTCCCTTTGCCATGATCTATCTAATGTATGTAAGCTAGTGGTAGCGTAGCTCCTTCTCATGCTTCAGACAACAACTAAGGACCAGAAATTAAAAAATGACAAAAACTAGAAGAACTTAAAGAATCCGATTCGTGGCCCAAACGTGGTTACTCTCGTGAGTGATGGTGTATTTTCGTGTTTTTTATCTTTTGTTTTCACACCAGAAAATTTGGCTTCATCCAACATGCATTTCCTCACGTTAAGAAAATCTTTCTTTAACCAAAGGGCCGTTAGCTGGTAATTTGTAAATAAAATCATGCATCAGTTGCCAATTTAAGATTGATTAGTTTATCTTGACTTATAATCAGCTCAGTAATTCTTTCCACAATTTATATATCCTTACGCCGTTGCAGAAAGACGCGTGCTCGTAATACGATAGCTTCTCAGGTACAACACGCAACCTAAAAAAAAACTCCACGTGAAAGTACCAAGAACCGTGTAGGGGTCAACACATGATGCCACTGATTGTTGGAAAGGACAATAATGAAGACAATTAACATGAGGCGATTATTTGATTCATTTAAATGATAACGACGGAACAGTGGACTTAAAATCGAAGAACACATGCGCTGAAAGGGTGGGGTTGGTGCACATTAATTGGAAAATTTGGAGGGGGGACAAATAAGAAATTTTGAAGCAAAATAACTTCATATCCTCTTTATTGTCACAAATGACAATGGACCCTCTTCAGTGCAAAACTATAACCGAGATAAGGATATTCAGTATAGTGTATATGTCTCTCTTCTCATACACACTCGATTATTGCAAAGGTAAAATACACTAGCACAGCATTTAGATCATGGCTTAGCTACTGGATCTACAGCTTTGAGGCTGCACCTTTGTCTAGGAACCATTTCAACTCCCCTTCAGGTGCAACCAATCCAGCAGGAAGCTTAGCAGAATTTTGAGATTTGCCCAACACAGAGTTAACTGCATCTGCTTTACCCTTGCCAGTCACCACAAGTGCTGCGTAGGCAGAAGCATTAATCACCGGAAAGGTGAAAGTTATTCTCTCTGGGGGTGGTTTTGGGGAGTCCTTAATGAAGGCAACCCATCTTTTATTCTCCTCCACAAGAGGATGCCCCGGGAACAATGAAGCTACGTGGCCATCAGGGCCCATGCCCAGCAGCATGAGATCAAATTTTGGAAATCCGCTGGCTGGTGATGAAGCTATCACATTGTTCTTGACCAATTGTCTTAGACATGTCTCATAATCATCAGCTGCTCCCTCAGCTGAAAGGGCATCATTGATTGCATAATTATTGCCTGGAGGAATTGGCACCTGCCAGATAGAATCGTGATGAAAGTACCAACAGGTTAGATTGATAGAAAAATTATGCTGATAGAAGACTAGGTAGGGAAACAGTATAACATGATCATGATTCATGCAGTCATTTTAAAGATCACACATGTATAAAATATAGCTTGTAATTTGAAACTGAGGGCAATTATTTTCCTCTCTTGCATCATTTTATAGGATTGAGCAATACAGTAATACACTAAACAAACTTGTCAAAACAATACCATCATATCCAGTATCCAACAAGGATATATATTCGCCTGATCATCTACAAATAAGTAGCCTCTCCCCAAAATGCGTGCAATTGTCCATTCACTGTTGTCACTTCATAGATATATTTTTAGTTTCGTGTGATATGTTCACACCCTTTGGATTTGAATGTTATTAAGTTGGTTAAAGTAAACATTTGGTCCATGGGTTCCAAAAGTTTAGAAATCAATCTTTGCAGGGTAAAAGAACTTAGTTTTAGTCCCTGTAAGAGGGAATAGAGACTAAAATTTAATAAATATTGTAATATAGTAATAGCAGGGACGAATGTATACTAACAAGGGACTAAAACTTAAGCTCTTCATTTCTTGCCTACACAACTGTGGGACCAAATGATTGGTTTAACCTATTAATTTCTTAGAATAGTGAAAGATATGGTCAGGCCATCTCCTTACAAAGGAGTCTCCAGTGTGTTCCAACCTTTGCCCTCTTGAAGGCACATCATGTTGAGAATATGAAGGGAGTTAAACATTGAAGAGAATTGCATCAATGGACCATGAGCAATGAACTCTACACTGCATCTTAATCCAAAACATTAAGACATCAAGTTTATAAATCTTTCCAATTATATGATCTTCAACATATTCAACTCTATCCAATGCAATGCAAAACTCTCACTCACATGTGCAAACCAATACAATCATTGCACCCAACACCTTGTGCTTGTTTATTTGGGAGTGTGGGTCATTCGAACGAAAACATGTCTACGTACCATGTTGCATACGATTCCAAAATGGGGTTCCTATCCTCACACATGGACTGTTTTTACAATGGTTTCAACTCAAAGAGCTACATAATTTAAATAATAATAAAAAATCTACTTTTTTCTCTCAATTTCACGACCTAAACACATAAGGAAACCTGTTAAGTCTCAATTTTACCTCTTTTTGGATGAGACTTATTGAACAAATTCCACTCATCCTTTGAACCATTGCAATATAATTGTTCTCTTTTTGGTTCATTTTGTGTGCAGATATAACTAACCCAAATTCATCTAACAATACCTTAATCCACCTCATTTTTTGTGCAGGTATTGAGGAAGAGTGGAAAGTTGAAGACTCTTAGGATTGGAAACCTAAGAAGCTAAGGAGCAGAGAAGAGGTTCTGCGCCGGGCTCAATATAACCTGCGCTGGGCGTGACAAAAACAGAGTATTTCATCTCAGCCAGTTATATTAAGCCGGGTGCAAAAGGAATTGCGCCGGGCTTGTGTTGAAAAAAATGCAAAAACAAAAGTATAGGACCTATGGCACATTTTTAAAGCATGATTCATATGAGGCAAAGCAACTTGATGAACATACATGAATCATTGAAACAAGTGAAAGGTGGATCCATCACACTTTGAACAAAAATTAGATAAAATCGGAAAAAAAATCTAGACAATAAAGGAATTGACAAATTCACCGAACAAAGATTGATGAACTTATCTTAGATGGAACCAAGCTCTGATACCATGTGATGGAGTCCTATTTTGAAGTAACTTCATAGATTGATCTTCACACCACTCCTTCTTGATTACCTTGAGAGTTCTTCAAGGTTAGAGGCCAAACAAAAAGAAGGAGAAGTGTTGGAAAGGTTTTGCCTAAGATCTTTGATTAGAAGTCCAAGGCCACAAAGAGGAAATCTCAAGGAGAAGGGATGATTCCCTCCCTAGAAGGTGATTTTCGGCTAGAGAGAAATGTGCAAAAGAATTTCTCATAAAATGCTCAAAAGTGGGAACTACACAAGGTCCTAAGCTATATATAGTCCACGGAAAGAGTGCTAAGGAAGCTAGGTTGGCCAAGAGTTTAAATTAACCATGGTATGGTTAATTTAAACCCTTGGCGCCTAAATTCAAATTTGAATTTCAAATTTGAATTCTATCTCCTAGATTTTTGACACCTATTCCGGAAATCCTCATGAAACATGTGATGCTTGCATTTTAATGTGATTTGGTTCACATTTGAGGTGAATTTGAGTCACACCATGCTCACCATCCATATGGCCAGTCACATGATTCTAAATGCACCCTAAATGTGTCTCAAACTATATTAGACACAAACTCACATGAATTTAAGACTTAAAATGGTCGAGATACTTGGCCTTAAAATCAACCTTTTTCTACTTGGCTAAAATACAAGGCCTTCAAGCAAAATACAAGCCCAAGTGGGTCAACCCTAGTCTACATGGGCCTTAATTAATAACCCAACTAAAAAGTGTCATGGGATTTTCCTTGGTGTTAGCCCAATCCTCATCTAGTCATCAAACCATAGCCCTAGTAATTGGGCCCTTGGCCCATGGGCCTCAATCATATAGTCTAAGACATTTTATAAATGCTCTAATCATTTGAATGCTTTGTTTAAATCAAGATAAAACAAGGTTTGAAAAATCAAACAAGCTCGAATAAATCTGTCAAGCTTTGATAAATCTAATTTTTTTCTCAACAATTTTCGGTTAAGTGCTCAAACATAAATAGACATGCTTTGATATACATGAAAGCTTAAATATGATATAAAAAAATTATTGCTCTACTATCTTAATATTTCACAAACACTATATTGTTTGTATGATAGAACTATGAAAATATGATGAATTACGTGTCATAAGAAAAATATCAGATTTCAATCAAACTTGCTCATATTATTTTTCTTCAAAATCTCAAATATATATTTTACATTAGTTTAGTTACTCTTAAAATCTCAGCATTGGAAGCTGAAAATATTCAACTCATGAAAGACTTAAGTTTGTGAAAGGGTCTTTTAAGATGATTATGTTGTGACGACATAGAAGACTTCCATCAGACAAGAGTGGTTTTGGCTTTGATCTTGGTCCCAAGACATCTCAAACCAAGCCTAAGTCTACCTTTCATACTAGTGGAAAAGAAGTAAAACCTCTAGGAAAACGACAAGAATAAACAAAGATTTTTTAGACTAACAAGAAAGGACCCAAGAAAATCTAGGTAACAAAATCACAAATCATTTTTGTTGCATATATCCTTCTGGGAAGAAGGAAGGATTCAAGTTGGTACTTTGAAACCTCAAAGGCATATAAAGTTTTCAACTCTAGAACCTTTATCATAGAGGAATCCATCCATGTGAAGTTCAACAATGATCAAAAGATTGATAGGAAATTATCAGATCTAGAAGATGATTTTGAAAATTTGTAGATTTACAAATTGGTGATCATCAAATTAAAGAAACAAATGTTGTGACTCAAACGATGGAACCTCTAGAAAGCCAGAAAATTCAGTTGGACAAAAATCTTAGACCTCTAAAGGATTGGAAGTTTCTATATAATCATCCACAAGATCATATATTGGGTGATAAGACCAAAGGTGTAAAACTTCATGCTTCTCTTAGGGATCTAGCCTCATATGCACTGGTATGAGATTAAGCCAAAGAGGATTCACAAAGCACTAGCAAACAATAATTGGATCATTTCCATGGAGGAAAAACTCCACCAGTTTGATAGGAACAACATCTGTACTTTTGTACCAAAGCCAGAACATCATAATGTCATAGGATTTCGATGGATCTTCAAAAATAAGCTGGACAAAAAAGGTAAAGTAGTAAGAAACAAAACTAGATTAGTAGCTCAAGGCTATAACCAACAAGAAGGTATTGACTGTTGATTAAGCTCAAAATGAAAACACAATCTTACTTAGATTTAATGGTCACAAATGAGCCTCTTGAGAGATAAGAGTGGAACTTGTAGTTTACTTTGTGCATTGAGCATCTTGATAAATAAGAGTGCAAATTATATCTTGTTTTATGTGGTTTTAAGCCTTGTTGCTTGTGTGCTTTTTACATGGTAAGTAACTTAGCATTTTATCTCTATCTAGATTATGATTGATGACTTAGATATATGTTAAAATTGATCTATAAAGAGAAATGATATGAAAAACTGATATATTAAATTTTCACTTAAAATAATCGATTATATCAAGTAATAATTGATTATTTACTCTATTTTTCAGTTACCTGAGGAGCAATTGCTGTAATAATCGATTATTCAGCAAAATAATCAATTATTTTAGAAACTAGGTTTTGGAATAATCAATTATTGCTCAAAATAATCGACTAAATTGTTCTTTGTTGATTTTCATAATTGCTAAGAATAAAATAATCGTTTATCCATGTAAATAATCAATTATTTCAGTCAAAAAACTTATATATATGTATATATATATATATATATCATTTTTCACACCTTGGATATAGAACTTTTGAATCTTTGTGATATAATTTACGAAAATACTCTTTGTAGCACATTTATCTTTACAATAAGAGGTTCTTTGACCTTTGTTGTAACCTCAAGAAAGTTTTCCAAGAATTGAGTTAATCATCATCTTCATAAGTTGAAAGGTTAAGTTACATGGTTGATTCACTTTCTCTTGTTTGTTATATACATTAGGTGAGTTCGTTCCATAACTCTCTATACTATTTTTTATCTTAAGTAAGTTTCTTAAGAAAGAATCCTAAACAAATAATTGTGGAAGCAACATAAAATAAAAATAGTACCTTGGAGAGAAGGCCATCGAGGGCAAGCTTGTAGTTACTATCCTCATGGGTCTTGGGCACGACTCTCTCATCGACCCAAAACACGTGCCATTTGGACCATTCAAGAGAATCAACATAAGGGGGTTCCAGAAGCTTCCTGAGATCCCAAAACAAAACACAGTCAATTCAATTGAATCAGCATTAGGTTTAAAGCAAAACGAAACATTGATACGAAGAAAAAGAAGGGTGACCCGAGATATTTGATCAAAGAGCCACCGGAGAGGCAAACAGTGAAAGCCCCTCTTTCCTTGGTGAACTTGTCGGAGAGATCGGCGACGTATTTGGCGAGAGAGACGGCGAGATCGTCCTTGTCGAAGACCTCGACGGCGACGTTTTTGTTGGTGTCGGCCATGGAAGCTTTGATTGGGGGAAGAAGGGCGTTGGAATGGAGGGCAATGGCAATGAGGCGTCTGAAAGTGAGGGGGCGAAGGGAGAGGTGTGCGGAGGGTGGATGGAGGTGGGTGTTTGGGAAAGAGGCGAGTGGGAATCGAAGAGTGTTGGAAAAGAGTGTAGAATGGGTGTAAGCCATGACCCACCTTCTTATAAATCAAACACCACTCACAATGCCTACCATCTCGTTCGCTTTCTACTCTTCTCTTCCACCAATTTCTCACATTGACCAGGCGATACCATCAATTGCTAATTGCTATACGTTTTACAGCTTCCAATTTCAACTCCCATTATTTTTTTTTTCTACAATTTTCTTCCATTTCAACTTTTTTTATTATTATTATTATAATAAATTAATAATTAAAAGTTTTGTTTTCTTTTACACGTGTCCTAAGATTTCGCCTTAAAATAATCATATTTAATTAAAGGATAAAGTTAAGAATTATTTTTTTAATAATTAAATTCAAGTATTGTATGAATAATTCGATATTGAATTTAGCACACTAACAAGAAAATTTGAGCTTAACACACCCAATTTAGGAATCTTTTAAATCCAACAATTTCTTGTACAAATTTCTTTTAAGGAAAAAAATTTCACTCATTTGAATTAATTATATAATTTTATAAATAGTAATTAATGATAATAGCAAAATTAACGGTAACAATTGATAAAATAAATTAACATTCCAAGATTTTTAAATAAATTAGTAAAAAAAATTAATAATTAATTAAGTTGTTTTATAATTATGAGTGTTGGTAAATAAAAAAGAAATATTGTGAAATTATTAATCATATATGCATAGAGAGAATTAAAGGTATTTTATGTATTTGATTATGAATTATTAATTAATAGAGAGAATGAAGAGTAAATTATTATTAATCACTAGATATAAATCTATATTAGATCACATGTAAATTGTTGAGGTGAATATAGATACTTAATTTGTGTCTTCAATGTTTTCTAAATTTGGTTAACATATTGTCTTGATGTTATTTTTCCCAATTCCTTTGGGTGCCATATACAGGGTACAAAAAATTTCTCTTATAATCTAGGATTAGGAATTAAAGAATGTATAGTTCATATATAATTTTATTTTGTTTTTCAATTATAAAATGACAACAAACAAATAGGATAACACTCCAATCCATTTTATGATAGCCGATCAAATACACCATAACCATCTTGTAACCTGGACAACAAACACTATAAAAACTTGCAAGGAAACCAATACACCAATTGACAAAAAAGTATTAAAAGTGTGTTCAAAATCAAAGAAAACCTAGACAACTACCACAAACTAAAAAATATATGACATGTTACACATAAAACTCAATATTGGACTTGACACTATCACCCTAGTTGGAAGACCCAAATGATGCACATAATACATATGTTGGTAGCACATCTAATGTAACATAGTAAATGACAAAACAAAAATGTACATGACAACGAAATATGTCTCCGTAACCTACTCTCGCCCACCCCTCTTGTTGACGACATTATGCAAAATGAATACGAGGAACCACCTATTAGTACTAGGAGAATAGTAGTTCTTCGGCGCATAAATGATTACATATTTTCAATCAATTTCTCCATCGCATTTTAATTTAAACAAGGATGAGTAACAAAAGGAGGAGTTGTTGAGATGGAATAACAAGAAATAAACTAATAAGGATGTTAATGACAAAACTCTCCACAACAAAAGAGACCTCTATTGTATGAAACCAAACACCATTGCAAAATATAATTTTATATGTATGATGTTATATATATTTTAATTAATAAAATCACAGACTTTAATTAAATCATACTAGGAGTCTAGTATTGCAACTCCGTTTAATAACCTACCACTAATTAACCCATCAAATAATTAAAATTTTAATTATTTAATCAATCAAAATATTAACTAGTACTGATTAGTTTATTATTTAAAGAATAATTAAAAGTCCCTATTAAAGAGTTGGGTTAGGGTGTCTCAACTCCCTAATGGTGGCTAATGCATTTTAAGAAAGAAAAAAAATAAAGCATTAAATCTTTGTTTAATGTGATGAAAGAGTGGAGTAAGGAGAAGCGAGAGGTAAGAAACAATGTTTTAAAAATTGAATCGATCATCAAATTGGTCAGGATACTAGATCTATTGGTTAGAGGTCGAACTGGTGGGTCACTAATTGAACTTCATAATTCAGTCTTATCAACTTTTTAAATAAAATATCCATATCATATATATTTTATATCTATAAATTTCAATAAAATTTATACCATATTTTAAAGAAGTTCCTAAAAAATTTGTAGTCAATACAATACTTAGAACAAATACAGTACTCATAGGGTAATCAAATTATAAGTTAATTAAAATATATAAATTAATATATAATTTTAAATTAAAATACATTATATAAAATATTTAAGTCAATTGTATAACTTATATTTACTTAGTTATTATTGAATGAAGTTTAATACTATACAAATATATAGTATGTTTTTGTCATATATGTCATCAAAATGACATTTGGTCCAATGGTTTATGGTTCTCCTTTTGTATATGATATTCACGTTGCTTTTAAGGTTATATATATATATATATATATATAGGAGGGTTCAAACGACACTGATATAACTTTAACTAAGTGTTACACCGCTCAATAACTTTATATTAATTGTGAATTTTGTAAATCGAACCGTTAGATTGAAAGCTCTTTACTTTTAGATCATATATACAAAATTTTATATTAATCCAAGATAATTTGATACTTCATTTTTTTAAAACAAAATTGACGTAATATATTCATTTCAAAATACACTAAAATATGAACACTTTGATTATCTTCAAGTTATTGTTCAATTTTAATAAAATTTGATATACACACATAAAATGATATGAACTTTCAATCTAACAGCTAGATTTACAAAATTCACAATTAATATAAAGTTATTGAGCGGTGTAACATTTAGTTAAAGTTACACCGATGTCGTTTGAACCCTCCTCATATATATATATATATATATATATATGTGTGTGTGTGTGTGTGTGTGTGTGTAGAGGGGGTTATAATTATACCAGTGTAATTTTTACTAAGTATTACACCGCTCAATAACTTTATATTAATTGTGAATTTTGTAAATTCAACCGTTAGATTGAAAGTTCATATCACTTTATACGTGTATATCAAATTTTGTTAAAATTGAACAACAACTTGAAGGTAATCGAAGTGTTCATATTTTAGTGTATTTTGAAATGAATATATTACGTCAATTTTGTTTTATAAAAATGAAGTATCAAATCATCTTGGATTAATATAAATTTTTGTATATATAATCTAAGAGATATGAACTTTCAATCTAACGGTTGGATTTACAAAATTCACATCTAATATAAAGTTATTGAGCGGTGTAATACTTAATAAAAGTTACACGGGTGTAATTATAACCCCCCTCATATATGTGTGTATTAATATGTCGACAATGTTTATGACATTTAAATTTTGATTATTTTTTTTAACTTCGTTGTTGGGTATAACACTATATAAAAAAAATTGTAATTTATGTGTTATAATGTTGTGTTTTCTTGTTTTAAATGTTGAATTTTCTTAAGTTATAATGTTACATTTTTTATATATTTACATTTTGTATAATATTTTATATATTATAATGTTGCATTTTTGTAGTGAGTATGTTTTTATATTATTTTATGAAGTTGTGTTTTATAGTCAGTAATATTTTTTTAAAAAAATATTTATTTAGTCAATAATATTTTTATAGTATTAGTTTATTTTTAGGCAAATAAATATTTTAAATAATTTTTTTTATGTAGATGGAAACGTCAGGTTTAACACGTGTTGTTTGTGGATCACTTGAGATGGACTTGGTGACTTTGTAGTCTAAACATGTATGGAATAGAAAGCTTGTTCGTAGTACATGTTTGACTCATGATGATATAAATGGAGTTCCACATCAAATAGTTCATTTATTAGACGATGCTAGGTTTGGAGAGATGTGGACCAAAGACACATACATCTAATATGCCTTTTGGAGAGTATGATTACTCTCCGAGAGGTAGGACTACTTGTTGGACTCCATGTTGATGGATAAACAATTTTATCGACACGTGATGTTGATGGAAAAACATTAGGTGAGAATTTCATAATTTATTTAACTATGCATATTGTATTTAATTATTTATATAATTGTTCATTATTATGAAATGCACACGATTTAATAGTGAAAATTTTCATATAATGTAGCTTACAATTATTTAGGGGTTGTTCCACTTGACCATGCAATTAAACAATTTGTCATAAAATTGTCATGGTTGGGTGTAACACTCAAAGTCGTGGATGAGTATAACAATTACTTTTAATATTTGCACCACATGGTGAGAGAATGGATATTGAGATATATTGGAGGTATTATATTGTTGAGAGAAGCTCTGTTTAGGTAAGTTTGAGGTGGTTAGTTTACTACGTGATTTTGACGTGATAAAGAACTACACATGGATGTTGCTACATTATGTTATCTTTATTGACAATTATGCTCTTCGACCAATTTTACTACCACAATAATTGGTGGATTGGTCACTCTTGTGTAATTGTGTGCATGAAAACGTTTTCAAAGGCTAGCTCCACTAGTTTCACTACCTATTCCTCCCAGATGCGTAGTTGGTTTAAGGTAATTGTAAAATAGTACTACACTACACAAATTTTTATGTTAAATTGGTTATGAATAAAACAAATTCATTTTATTTTAGATGGTCTAGCACGATCTTGGAATAAATATTTGAGATGATCTGAAATATTATCGTAAACAATTTGACTTGATGAAGGGAAAACATGTAAGTCCTTTTTGTTATCTTTTTTAAATAAGAATATTATTTGATTAAAAGTATATAATGTTTATCAAATTGTTTATAGATAAATTAGCAACCGTAGTTTGAGGAGTTGATAGCTCAGATGCTTGTGGAGTGCACTCAAAGGGCATCATATATGGGGGTTTGTCTGTCTTCTCATTTGTCTTATTCATTATGAGTGGCATCAACTAGATAGAGTAATGAGGCAATTCAGTTATCAATAACCTATATCTCAAGACCCTAGTACACCAGGAAATGTCCATACGTTGACCTGTGTGGTAAATAAGTTGACGACTGGACTAGGATTTTAAGGCCAACTTTACATCAATGGAAAAATCTTGCTAACTTGCATTTTACTCTCATTGTACCTCGGGTTGGATTACTAAGTCCAAATTTAGAATATATGAGGTT